TTTTAGAAATGTTTGAACACTGTACCAGGGGCGGACTGACCATTTAGAAATTTGGGCACTGCCCAAGGGCCCTGGGTCAGTAGGGGGCCCCATGAGATGCCCCTGGTACCTTTTTCATAGGCTTTTTTGAGTTTGGGCAAGGACACAGGGGCCCCATGAACCCCTATTGCCCGGGGGCCCCATGAGTTGTCAGTCCGCCCCTGCACTGTACCATATTCTTCATCTTATGTTAGAAAAGATTAGGCCTTGAATTGGCCTTGAACAATAGCAGTATAGCTTTAAACTAATCCTATTACTGCTGTTGGATTTTGAATTTCAGTTTATCTAAAATGTTATCATCATACTTTGTAGTGAATTAATAAAGCATTCTCTTAAGAAGCAAGTATTGTATCTTACGCAGTCTCTACCACTGTGCCAACAGATTCTTATACGAAAAGGGAAAGACAGAGATTGGAATGTTCTGGCACACAGTGTGCTTGTTTATTGTTTGTATTCACTACAAAGGAGTTTCTACTATTAAATGTTCATAGTATATGCACAAGCTAAATCATTTTAGTTGGCCTTTTGTGGCCTTCTGGTGTCATACACAAATGTTTGTAAGCATTAATATAACATGCACTAATTTTAGTATAGAGTATAAAACACCTTTAAGGTTTGTTCTATGTTTACTTAACATCATTAGTATATTTAACTGCCAAAAGTCTGCATCTACATTAACTTCCCACATTCCCAATGATATTCTTAATCAGACTTGGAAGATAAACAAAGACAAAGTGTTTTGGCGGGTCATGCTTGAAGGCTCATGCACAGGGGTGCAGCAGGCTGAACACCTTCAAGATGGAATATATTTCTGTGCCCAGGAGTCATGGGTGTTTGCATTCAGCCATAACAAACAGCATGTACCAATCAATGACTGGCTGCCAGATGCCATGGCTTTATGGATGTAACGGCACAACTGAGCAGTTACATGCATACAGGGACGGAAGAGCGGCCTTAATGTAAACAGCATTAGGGGAGGAGCTTGATACGAAAGATAGCCTGAGTAAAAGAGTCTCATTATGTTTAAAAAATACTGCAAAGTAAGTGGAGGATGATGGTGGCAGTACTGTGATTGTGCCTGAAGCGTTTACACTTCAAGGTGGTATTGCGCACTTTAGAAATAAGTGGCTTTAGTTTTTTTAAGCTTTTTTTTTTAATAAAAAAGGAGTTTTATGCTTTTTGTGATTGCTTTTTGTGATTCCTCTGTCTTATTGTTGGTGCCTGAACAGAAGAGCTATGTAACTGAAAGTGGGTTAGATCAAGTTATAGGTGCCTGGCCTTGGGAATCATATAAAGCATTTATTACTTTTCCTTGAACAGAAAGGTTGAAAATTTGATAATGGTAATTTGATAATTTACTTAAAGGATAAGTTCACTTTTTAAAAAAAAAGTAAGGTAAAAAAATGTGCATTTACTATTTATTTCTTTTTTTTAGGATACTGGAAAGCATTGTGCCAGCGATCAGGAGATCGCTGGTGCCATGCAGGACTCTTGCAGACCTGTCAGTGTAAGCTCTCAGCCCGTACTAACAGGCAGTTTCCCACTGACAGGAAGAATCAATGAACTACTACAGAGCTCAATAGAGTCGTGGTAGTTCATTGAGAACTACAAGTTGATGGCCACAAATGCTGGCGGGATTTGTAGTTTCCCATTCACAAAACTCTGTAAATGAATGGCTGCCCACCCAGCCACTCTTTTTTCTAAATTGTGACAGCTAGAGGGGGAGAAGATCACCCACTAACTGTCACAATAGGGGATTGGTGGAGTGCAGGGGCCGGTGTTACAGTAATATGGGTGTAACATGTAACATGTTATGAAAGGTGAACTTATCCTTTAGGGTGGAGGATGATCTCACATTGGAATAAAGAAGCACATGTTGAAGATTTTTGAAGATTGGTTCCAAAGTAAAGTTTTTTTTTTTTTTTAGCGCATCTGTTTCTGGGAATTCACACATTTTTATTATTTGTTTTTAAAGCCATATTCTGGGATTGTAAGGGTTCCAAGCTCCTTAGGTCTAGGGAGAGATGAGAAGGTTGTATTACCTACCTTACCCCTGCGCTGACAGGGTCCAGCATTCTCTTGGTGCCCATGACTGTGGGTGGTCCTTCAGCAGCATCAAGTACAGTGCATGGCTGTTAACCATGCGTTGTACATGGAGGACTGGAGTAGTAAATTGATGGTGCTGGAACTTTAGGATAATGGTATGTGAGGCTCTAGTACTCAAAATTTATTTTCTCAATGTTGTACTGACAGTGTGCCTGTTGGGCATCTGGGTAACATATGGGATAGCAATGGTAGCTTCTATGCTTCCTCAGTACAGATTTTCACGTCTTGGCATCAGGTCCCTGTAATTTCACTCTGGGAGTGTGAGAACACTCTGAATCATATAAGGCTCTATTTCATTGGACAATGCGGTCTGTGGACATACCTGAAGTTTAGAAGAGCATAGGAGGAGTGTAGAGGAATGCTCCCACTCCTTTTTATTGCCAGTCACAGTTTGAGTCTAGACTATGTTCTATTGCTCCGTATTCTGCAGGAATGTCCAGGGCCTGTGGGAGCTGTGTGGTAGGGATGATTGGACATCATTATTTTAAACTAATAATTTTTGTATTTACTTATATTTAGCACACTCTTTGATTTATTCACATTTTTACCTTTTTTTGGTTAGGAGTGCAGCTTGTGTTCTATTTAGTTTGTAGCGCTTTTTTTCTCTATTTCTTATATTATATATGGATCCCAAGAGTGTCTGAATAAAGATTCAAATCTTTTGGCAGGTATAACATATATGTATTTTAACTGTGTATCTAACTGTCAAAATACAGTTCAACTTATTCAATGTGCTAATGCTTCATGATGGTTTCAAATATGCACCTAAAATGTATCACTTTAATTTGTCAGATTTCTAATGATTAAACTCCAAACCAAAAATGCAATATATTGCAGCTTACCAATCATCAGATGTGGTGGCTGCATCCGGTTTCTTTTTTTAGTTTTTTTTCCCCCTCTGTTTTCATCTGGTGATCTGGCCAGTAACACACCTCCTGTATTCTGGATGAAAGCACACGGGGGCACAGTAGAAAGCCGCATTGTTAAGCTGGGGGTAGAAAAGTGTTAGATGTACTAGCAGATTTCGATACAGTAACAAATTGAAGCCAATCTCCAGCTCACACTACAGGTACACAAGCAGTTAGAACAACAGTTTTTTTTTTCTTTTGGGATAAAGGTTTTACGTGAATAAGTAAAAGCTGATCATTGTGAGCCCTCCCAGTAGTGGTATATTGTTTGTCTCAACACTCTTAACTGATACATTTGTAGTAGAGTATGGTGTTGTTCTGTTGAAAAACAATATACTTAGTGGCCCGATTTGCTTTTTGGTCTAATAATGTTTTAAGTCTATGAAGAATAGTCCTTTCTAGCAGAAATGCATTAGCAGAACTAAGTGAAAAAAAAACAAAAAAAAAAAACAAAACTAAATGAGAGAAGAGAAAATATACCTGATCCCAACTGCTGCCCTACATCTTTTGTATCTAAAGTCATGTACAATAACATTAAATGAATTACTTGGAGCGTGCAGGCATTTTTCTAACATTTTTACAGCAGTGCATTGTTTTTTTTTCAATATGAGGAAGTCTCTTGATGCCCTTTAGTTGGTTTTCTGTTTCACTTGTTATCAACACAAATTATATTTTTTCCGGTTTTGAAAATATATTACATTTTCCCAAGCAAATTAAAGCTGAGTTTGTATTGTTTGTTTGTGGATTCTGAGCATTTTTACTGCTTATTTTTGAATAAGAAAACATGTTTGAACTGCTTTAAAAGCAAATAAAATCTATCAAGACAGTAATTGTTATCTGTGCCAGTCATTCATATTATATTATGACGTATTATATTTACAGCTAATGCAGGCTAACCAAAGAATTTGATCATACAGTGAGGAACAGAAGTATTTGAAACACCCTGCCATTTTGGAAGTTCTCCAACTTAGAAATCATGGAGGGGTCTGAAATTCACATTGTAGGTGCATTCCCACTCTGAGAGTTAGAATTTAAAAAAAATTCAGGAAATCACATTGTATGATTTTAAAGAATTTATTTGTCTTGCACTGCTGAACATAGGTATTTGAACACCTGAGAAAATCAGTGTTAATATTTGGTACAGAAGCCTTTGTTTGCAATTACAGAGGTCAAACGTTTCCTGTAGTTCTTGACAAGGTTTGCACACACACTGCAACAGGGATTTTGTCCCACTCCTCCACACAGATCTCCTCTAAATCTGTCAGGTTTCAGGGCTGTCACTGAGCAAACACGGAGTTTCAGCTCCTTCCAAAGATGTTCTATTGGATTTAGGTCTGGAGACTGGCTAGGCCACTAGGATTAAAAAAAAAGGAAAAAAAATTGCTTCTTTTTCTATTGCTTTTTACTTGCTTAAAAATTCTTAATAGCTTTCCTCATCCCATGTAATGTTACAGAGAATTTAGGAAATTATATTGCCATAATTAACCTGTCTGCACTCTTTGACAATAAAACCTAGAACCTGGCTGTTTCTATGCAGAGCTGCCCCAGATTTTGCATGCTCCCATTTTAGTAAATATCCCCTTGTCTATTCTAACAATGGATTAGTGAAATTAAGGCTTGGGTGGTACATTGTCTGTAAATACATGTTAAAAAAAAATGTAAATTCAGACTGTGCCTTAATTGCACACTGAAAGCTATTCTAAACAAAAGAAGCTGCCTATAGAATGCTTTGTATGAACCTGCTCCAATGAACAAACTAGGAAAAGGGGACATAAAAAAAATAGCTATGTTATGTGAATGGAACGCATGACAAATAGAGATGACGAAGTATTCAAAAAATTCGATTCGGCTGATTCGGACGAATTCGAGGAATAAATTCGATTCGATGCGAATATATTCGCTGCGAATTTAACTTATAAAAGGGTGTTTCTAGGCTTCAGAGAGCCTTCATATTAGTGCAGAACACTGTACCTTTAATTTAAATGCCCTTGAGGAGGATCTGCTGGGGAAGAGAAATAATACTGTCATTCAGTATGACAAATGCAGATGAGTGCCGTCGATCTTATAATCACCGCACACTTTCACTCATTTGGGCAGTCACGGGGCAAAACCAGAGTGTGGAGCCACAGTGTGGCGGTGGATGCAGCAGCAATGGGTACAGGGCCATACAGCACCCTATGACAAAAATGGAACCCACCAGCAGTGTGAGGAGACCTGAAATGGCACATGGCAGAAGTGTGGGCGATGGAGACAGCAGCAATGGGAGGCCGTACAGGGACCCATGAGAGACTCTGGACCTGGCAGCAGCATGAAGAGCGTGGTACAAGGGGCCCATGGCAGATTACGGGCCTGGCAGCAGCAATGGGAGGCCCGTAATCTGCCAGCACCCTATGACAAAAAATGGAACACACCAGCAGTGTGAGGAGACCTGAAAGTGGCACATGGCAGAGTGTGGCGATGGGAGACAGCAGCAATGGGAGGCCGTACGAGGGAACCCATGAGGAGACTCTGTAGACCTGGCAGCAGCATGAGGAGGCGGTACGGGGGGGGGGCCCATGGTGGCACAAGTTTGGGGCATGATTCATGGGATTTAGTCAGTTGTGTCAGAACCTGGTGGTTTGAAATCCAGACTAATCCACGCCTGATTCATTTTCACAAAACGTGAGTCTCTCCAACACTTTGGGTGGACCAGTCTTGTCCTCCGCGGAGTTACAATACCTCCTGCCGCACTAAACACGCAGCTCCCGAAGCCACGCTACTGCCGGGCATGACAGCCTTCAAAGGGCAAATTCAGCTAGTTTGGGGCCAAAGGTCAAGAGTTCGTTGCCCCAGTAGTCAAGGGGAATTGTCTACCTCGGTTGGCAGGGTGCTGTCCAAGTAGGGGAACCCAAGCCTGTTGTTTGAGGTCCTGCTCCAGGTCCACCCCTGATGCTGCTGCTGCTGCGGCTGGTTAGTAAGAGTTTCCTCACTGCGCTGGTGAAGAAAGCTACTCATCATCCGACTGCAGCTGAGGCAGCCTGCTAGGTGGAGCTGCCACTGCTCTTACCACCCCCACCCCTCCCCTGCTGCCATTGCAGCGAACGCGAGCGCACAGCCCACAGTGTCTGAGGATGGACGTTGGCGCAGAAAGGCAGAGAACCAGCTGACTACATAGGAGGTTTTTATAGTACGTTATTTTGGCCTCCTCTCAGCAGGTGTGAAAAAGGCCACCATTTTTGAACGGTAGCGAGGGTCCAACAAGGTGGACAGCCAAAAGTCATCCCTCTGTCTGATGGTTTATTATTCGGAAACTGTCGCTAACGCAAGCAAGCGAGCATGCTAGGAGATGGTCCATTTGTGCCAAGGAATGCGAGGGACTCCCTGCCTCCATCTCCACAGCATACTGCCACGTGCGTCTGGGTCCTCTGAGTCTTCTCCTCCTCGCTCCTCTACCAATGCTCCTGCTCCTCCACTCCATGTCCGCTGAGTGGAAAAACCACCCATTTCACTCAAAGGGAAATTCCCTGAGCACCAATGTCCTCCCTCTACCTGACCTCCTCTCTTCTTCCTGTCCTGCCCAGCACAGGGGTCATGTGGCGTTGAGATCTGTGCGCCACGTCTACCGCACCCTGACCAGCCATTGTTAACAGCATTTGTTCAGGACGTGCAACAGAGGAATGACGTCGTTCATCCATAGTCCCTGGCCCGACTCACGAATAGCGTGGCCTCCTCAGAAGGGGCCTGAGCAAGCGGCAGTGACACGCATGTAGCTGCCAATGGCTGACCATCTAAGTTACAACAAAGAGGGAGTACCTTTATCCGCTTGTAACATCAGGAATCTGTGATGGCCATTTCGCTGTTCGAAAGGAGCGGTCTAACATATGTAGGTTGAATTCCACCCTTGTTGCATTGACGTCACAGCATGAAGAGTCGGTACGTGGCCCATGGGCAGATTACGGGCCTGGCAGCAGCAATGGGAGGCCCGTAATCTGCCAGCACCCTATGACAAAAAATGGAAAACTACCAACCAGCAGTGGTGAGGAGACCTGAAAGTGGCACATGGCAGAGTGTGGCGATGGAGACAGCAGCAATGGGAGGCCGTACAGGGACCCATGAGAGACTCTGTCTGGACCCTGGCAGCAGCATGAAGAGGCGATAGGGGGACAGGGCCCATGGCAGATTACGGGCCTGGCAGCAGCAATGGGAGGCCCGTAATCTGCCAGCACCCTATGACAAAAATAGAACACACCAGCAGTGTGAGGAGACCTGAAAGTGGCACATGCAGAGTGTGGCGATGGAGACAGCAGCAATGGGAGGCCGTACAGGGACCCATGAGAGACTCTGGACCTGGCAAGCATGCATGAGGAGGCGGTACGTGGGCCCATGGCAATTACGGGCCCAGGCAGCAGCAATGGGAGGGCCCTAATCTGCCAGCACCCTATGACAAAAATGGAACACACCACATGTAGGAGACCTGAAAGTGCACATGGCAGAGTGTGGCGATGGAGACAGCAGCAATGGGAGGCCGTACAGGGACCCATGAGACACTCTGGGACCTGGCAGCATCATAAGAAGAGGCGGTAACAGGGGCCCATGGCAGATTACAGGCCTGGCAGCAGCAATGGGAGGACCCGTAATCTCAGCCACACCCTATGACAAAATGGAACACACCAGCAGTGTGAGGAGACCTGAAAAGTGGCACATGGCAGAGTGTGGCGATGGAGAACAGCAGCATGGGGAGGCCGTACAGGGACCCATGAGACAACTGTGGACCTGGCAGCAGCATGAGGAGGCGGTACTGGGGCCCATGGCAGATTACGGCCTGCACAGGCAGCAATGGGAGGCCCGATAATCTGCCAGCACCCCTATGACAAAATAGGAACACACCAGTAGTGTGGAGGAGACCTGAAAGTGGCACATGGCAAGTGTGGCGCAGCGTCTGTGTACGTGCACCCGCACAGCAGCAATGGGATGCCGTACAGGGAACCCCACCCATGAAGACACATCTAGGGCTTATGGACCTGGCAAAGTCAACAGCATGAAGAAGATGTCGGTACAAGGGGCCCCATGGCAGATTACAGGGCCTGCAGCAGCAATGGTGATGTGCCCGTGAATCAGCCAGCACCCTATAACACAAAAAAATTGAACACACCAGCAGCTGTGAGAGATATCTGAAAGTGGCACATGGTCAGAAGTGTGGCTATGGAGACAGCAGCAATGGGAGGCCGTATACAGTGGACCCATGAGAGACACCAGGACCTGGCATGCAGCATGTAGGATCGCGGTAACGGTGGCCCATGGCATATAACGGGCCTGTCAGCGAGCAATTGGTGCGGTGACCCTAAATCAGCCAGCACCCTAAGACAAAATTGGAACAGCAACCAGCAGTGTGTAGGAGACCTGAAAGTGGCACATGGCAGAGTGTGGCGATGGAGACAGCAGCAATGGGAGGCCGTACATGGAACCCATGAGACACTGTGTGACCTGGCCAGCAGCATGATGGAGGCGGTACTGGTGCGGCCCATGTCAGATTACGGGCCTGGCAGCAGCAATGTGGAGGCCCCTAAATCTGCCAGTCAACCCTATGACAAAAAATGGAACACACCAGCATTGTGAGGAGACCATTGAAAGTGGCACAACATGGCAGAGTTGTGGCGATGGAGAGACAGCAGCAATGGGAGGCCCGTACAGGGACCCATGAGAAGACTACTGATCCTGGCAGCAGCAATGGAAGAGGCTGGTACAAGGTGTGCCCATGGCAAGATTATGTCCCTGGCATCAGCAATGGGAGGCCCGTAATCTGCCCAGCACCCTATGACAAAAAATGAGGGAACACAACCAGCAAGTGTGAGGAGTACCTGAAAAGTGGCCACCATGGCAGAGTGTGGTGCGATGGAGAGTTACAGCAGCCAAATGGGAGGCCTGTGACATGGACCCATGAGACATCACTGTGGACCCTGGCTAGCAGCATGATGAAAGAGGGCGGTATCAAGGGGCCAATGGGCAGAATTACAGCCTTGGCAGCAGGCAATTGGGAGGCCTGTAATCAGCCAGCACCCTATGTACAACAAAATGGAACAAACACCAGCGTGTGAGGAGTACCTGAGAAGTGTCAACATGGCAGACGAGATGGCTGATGGACGACAGCATCAATGGGAGGCCTTACAGGGACCCTATGAGACACTGAGTGGACCTGGCAGCAGCATGAGGAGGTCGGTAACTGTGTCCCATGGCAGATTACGGGCCTGTCAGCAGCAAATGGAGGCCCGTAGATCTGCCAGCACCCTATGACCAAAAAATTGCAACAACACCAGCATTGTGAGGAACCTGAAAGTGGCACATGGCAGAGTGTTTTTTGTGCCGTGATAAGGATGACAGCAGCAATGGGAGGCCCGTACAGGGACCCCATGAGACACAGTGGACCTGGCAGCAGCATGAGGAGGCGTTTACAGGGTGCCCATGGCATATTACAGGCCCTGGCAGCAGCAATGGGAGGCCCGTTAATCTGCCAGCACCCTATGAACAAAAAAATGTAACACACCAGCAGATGGTGAGGAGACCTGAAAGTGTCACATGGCAGAGAGTGTCCGGATGGATGACAGGCAGCAATGGGGAGGCCGTACCTGGGACCCTATGAGACACTCTGGACCTTGGCAGGCCGCTGATAAGAGCGCGGTACAGGGTCCCATGGTCAGATATACAGGCCTGGCAGCATCAATGGGATGCCCGTTAAACTGCCAGCACCCTATGACAAAAAATGTGAACACACCAGCAGTGTGAGGAGACCTGAAAAGTGGCACATGGCAGAGTGAGGCTGAATGGGATGACAGCAGCAATGGGTAAGGCCGTAACAGGGACCACATGATACACTGTGGACCTGGCAGGCAAGCATGAGGAGAGCAGTACAGGGCCCAATGGCAAGAATTACGGGCCTGGCCAGCAGCAATGGGAGTCCCGAAATCTGCCCAGCCACCCTATGACAAAAAATGGAACCACACCAGCAGTGTGAGGATAACCTGAAAGTGGCACATGTTTGGGGCATGGATTCAATTGCGATTTAGTCCAGTTTGTGGTACATGGAACTTGGTGGTTTGAAAATCCTAGACTATACCACGCCTGGATTCATGTTTTACAAACGTGAGTCTCTCACCACACTTTGGGTGGACAGCACCGAGTCCCTCCGCGGAGTTACAATACGCATTCCTGCCCGCACTAAACACCGCGCTCCCGATGCCACACTACTGGCCGGTCCGCATGACAGCCTATTTCACAAGGGCAAATTCAAGTCTAGTTGGGGCCAAAGGTCAAGTTTCGTTCGTGAATTGCCCAGTAAGTCAAGGCGTGATTGTCTACCTTCGGGATTGGCAGGGTGCTGTCCAAGTAGGCCCACAAGCCCTGTTGTTTTGAGTCCTGCTCCAGGTCCTACCTGATGCTGCTGCTGCTTGCGGCTGGTTAGTAAGTTTCCCCTCACTAGCGCTGGTGAAAGAAAGTGCTACTCATCATCGACTGCAGACTGAGGGCAAGCCGCGTGCTGGTGGAGCAGCTGCCTACTGCTCCTACCACCCCATAACCCCCTCCCCTGCTGCCATGGCAGAGGAACGCGAGCGCACAGGGCCCACAGTGCCTGATGATGGACTTTGGCGCAGAAAGGCAGAGATGACCAAACTGACTGACATAGGTGGTTTTTATAGTACGTTATTTTGGCCTCCCTCTCAGCACGGTGTGAAAAAGGCCACCAAACATTTATTTATTATATTTTTTTTTTTTTTTAACGGTAGCGATGTCCAACAAGGTGGACATGCCAAAAGTCATCCCTCTGTCTGATGTGTTATTATTCGGCTGTCGCTACGCAATCAACCCGAGCATCGTGCTATGGGCCATTTGTGTGCCAAGGAATGCGAGGGACTCCCTGCCTCCATCTCTACAGTCATACTGCCATAACGGTGCGTCTGTGTCCTCTGTCTCCTCCTCCTCCTCCTCTACCAGATGCTCCTGCTCCTCCACTCCTGGGTTCCGCTGAGTGAAAAACCACCCATTTCACTCAATCAAATTCCTGAGCACAAATGTCCTCCTCTAACCTCCTCCTCTTCTTCCTGTCCTGGCCCCCACAGGGTCATGTGGCGTTGTAGATCTGTGCGCCACCGTCTACCGCACCCTGACCATACCATTGTTAACATGCATTTGTTCCAGGACGTGCAACAGAGGAATGATGTCGTTTCATCCCATAGTCCTGCCGACTCCAACGAATAGGCGTGGCCGCTCCTCAAAGGGCCTGAAGCAAGCGGCAGGTGTCACGCATGAGCTGCCAATGGCTGACATCTAAGTACACAGGGGAGTACCTTTATCCGCTTGTAACATCAGGAAATCGGTGATGGCCTTTTATCGCTGTTCGTAAATGGCGGTCTAACATATTTGTAGGGTTGAATTCCACCTTGTTGCAACGACCGCAGATTCAGGCGATGCTGTGAAATTCCGTTCTGACAGATCTGCCTGGGCCGCTGCAAGCTCAAGGAGGGTGTGCTTTAGACGGTGTAGGAATGGCACGGAAATGCATGCAAAGTTTACCGTGACATTTTAGGATGTCTATGCAGTGGGATGGTGGCAGATTTTAGGAACGCTGGAGACAGCATCAGATTGAACACGTGAGCCATCGCATTGGCGCATGGCACACAACCCTCCTTGAAGCAGAGCAGACACCATGTTCTTTCCGTTGTCTCGTCACATGGATTCCGATTTTCAAGTTTGCGCGAGCCTAGAGCCATCTGTCCGATTTTCACTGTTCATTACACTCAGAATGTTCCAACCCCTGTGTGACTACTAACGTTCGCCAAAGGCATACCATGTGCAGCACGAGACGTGACACCGTTGTGCCAGCACAGTGTGATATGCCGGTCGTGTAATTGGGACACCCTCTGCACTGGTTGTCGGCTGCTGAGGACACGGCGGAAGAAGAGGTGGTAAGAGGGACGGACACACTTTTGTGGACCAAGTGAACGTGCAAACGTGGAGGCAAAAGCGGCGGCGTGACCAGTCCAAGTTGCCTGGTGCGGCAGAGCCGGCACCCCGTTCACCCAGTGGTAGGCCGGTAAAAGATGACATGTACTGTCCCTGACCTGAAGTTAGAAGCTCCACCACGTCCGGTCGCTGACCGAGCACTTTGAAAGAGACCTACATGCTTCAAAGTGACTGGCCCACCATCTCATCTACATTGAATGAAGGGCTGGCACTGCCTTTTTTGGCGAATGAAATGACGGCTTGGCACCTCCACACCAGCGGCGCGGCACAAGCCATCATTTCTCAGAAAGGTGCTGAGTCCACCACTTGGAAAGGGAGGGACTGCAGCACCAGCAACTTGACAGGAGGACGTTCATATCTTTGCACCGTCGGGTGCGTGCTCGCAAACTGTTGTCTCTTGGAAACGGATTCAAGAAAGACTGCTGACGGAAATCCGTGAAGAGGGAGTAGCAGGAGAAGGAGCATCTGAACGAGCGGTAGATGCGAACGAGCGACAACTCCCCATCAGCAGAGGTGTTGGAGCCTTGACTGGCTGATAGAGGGGCGAATGTGACGTCGGGAGTGACGGTGGCAAGTGATACACGTAACTGGAGCAGATGAGGATGGAGCTGGGGCGAGGGGGCAGGCAGAACTACGCCGTATCTTTATCCACGGTTTTTTGCCCAGGCCACCAAAAAATGGCAACGCTGCATTCGATTCTGCCGCCACGCTGTAGTCCCAACATGGCCCCCCTGGGCCACGCTTGGGACTTTCTTGGGACCACATAGTCGACATTGTTTTGGCTAATCTGTACGGGCTAGGCGTTTACTTCCTCGGTGCGCTTGACGAAAAATTTGCACACACCGCCGAGGAGATAGGAAACTTTGCCCCCCTTGATACTCCTCACTGGCTGACTGCTACTTCCTCCGTGCACACCGGCACCACTACTGGCCGTGGTGGTAGCTGCAGTGGAGCTGGTGCTCTACTCCGTGGCCGTTTTGCCTCCACTGACACTGCTGCGACCCTGCTGCCTCCTGTGCAACCCACCGACTGTTTTGTCTCGCTGCCAAATCTGCCACCCTCTTCTCCTGATGATGCGGAAGCAATAGCCTGATGACGACGAGGCTGCCAAGTGCAATCAGCCTCATCATCATCAATTAGGGTCTCCGCCTCACTACTTAGCCCCCTCGGCTGCGTGTGGTCAGGACAGACCTGTCTCTAGGACCGGCTACCGAGCCACTCTCCTTGCCACTACTTTCTCGCCTGCTGCTGAAGAGGCGGATGTCTCCCTCCGTTCCTGACCCGCCCTCTGTTAGCTCTTCCTCACTGTACAGTGGGGCTGAAGCCCACAGCATGCGATACTTCGCTTGGTGAGGGAACACCAAAGGACAGGGGCAGGTAGAGGACACGTGATTTCAGTGGGCTTGCTCCCATGGGCATGCCAACTAACGGTTTGTGTCCTGACGTACCCACCGACCATTGGCTGTAGGTGTCAGAGGTGACCTGGGAAGAGGAATTACGACGACCGAGCCAACCAATCGATGACGGCAGGGTTGTCGGTGGAGACACGACCGCTGGATGACACCGGGAGCACTGGCCTCTGGCTGCGACTAGTGCTGCCTCGACCCCTTGCTCTGCTGCCACGTCTGCTCGCTCCTAAAACATTGCCTCCTCTGCCACTCCTCTGCATGTTGTCTGACATACTCTTTAATTCAACGATTTCTGTATCCCTGAGTAACAATTCTGTGTCCCTGAGTAACAATTCTGTGTCTGTCCCTGAGTAACAATTCTGTGTCCTCTGAGTTGGAACCAAACAATTCTGTGTCCTTCAGTAATCAATTCTGTGTCCCCTCAGTAACAATTCTGTGTCCCTCAGTAACACATTCTGTGTCTGTCCCTGAGTAACAATTCTGTGTCCTGTCCCTGAGTAACAATTCTGTGTCCCTCAGTAACAATTCTGTGTCCCTCAGTAACAATTCTGTGTCCCTCAGTAACATTCTGTGTCTGTCCCTGAGTAACAATTCTGTGTCTGTCCCTGAGTAACAATTCTGTGTCCCTCAGTAACAATTCTTTGTACCTCAGTAACAATTCAATGTCCCTCAGTAACAATTCTGTGTCTGTCCCTGAGTAACAATTCTGTGTCCCTGAGTAACAATTCTGTGTCCCTGAGTAACAATTCTGTGTCCCTCAGTAACAATTCTGTGTCTGTCCCTGAGTAACAATTCTGTGCCCCTGAGTAACAATTCTGTGTCCCCTCAGTAACAATTCTGTGTCCCTCAGTAACAATTCTGTGTCCTGTCCCTGAGTAACCAATTCTGTGTCCCTGAGTTCTGTGTCCATGAACAATTCTCTGTGTCCCTCAGTAACAATTCTGTGTCCCTGAGTAACAATTCTGTGTCCCCGTTGTGTACAGTAACAATTCTGTGTCTGTCCTGAGTAACAATTCTGTGTCCCTCAGTAACAATTC